ATTAAATGTATATGCAAAAGAACATACATATAAATGAATGCATGATTATAAAATTATTCGTGAAATTATTAGTTAAATTATCATGAAAAATGGTTTATGAAAGATGCTAAAATTTACGCCATACTTTAAGAGTCGTCTAATGAATTATTTATTTTATCTCTTTTTTTTTTTTTTTTTGGAAAAAAGTTTTTTGAAACATTTTGGAATAATAAACTCACCATGTGATTTTTATGAAAGGACTGGATTGCATGTCTGATTTATGAGTTGCAAATATTGCAAATTAGAGCACAATTAACAAAATAATTTGAAATAAGATATGAAAAGTTGCAATAAGAACAAAAAAAGGAAGCTAAAATTACAATGTTGAGACTACCGAGTAATTTACTGTAAAAAAATGCGTTTAAAATATTTGTTAATTCTGCAAAAGACTGCAACTGCATCATTCTGATAGTTTCTGATGGAATCCGGAAATGGAATCGGTTAGTATAAAGCATTAACAATATTCAAAATGTAAAACTATTATATAAAATATTATTCAAAATGCATATTCTTCTTCTTTTGTTCTATAATTCAACAATTACTGTAAATTCCTTTTTTAAGTTTTATCTATAAGCTGCTCTTAAGTAAGTTAATAAATTCAATGTAGATTGAATTAATCCGTAAGAAAGAGATTAAAGTAAGTTAAAAGTGATGCAAATCAAGCACAAATTACTATATCATTATATTATCAAATATAATGAACTAAGCATAAAAGTTTTTATTCAATCAAAATTTCTTTAAAACTTCACACAACAACATCACATTGTAAAAAACGAAGGAGAAGCAAGGAGGAAAAAGTAATTTATATTAATTAAATTAGCATTCGTATACTGTTCTATTCAGTTAATTAAATACCTTGAAATTTCACAAGCAAATGACATTATCAGTTGGTAAAAATAAAAGACAAAATAAAAAGAAGAATTATCATACTTTCTGCGAAAGTATGGTGATAACATACTTATTATAAGTGCTTACTTTCTTGCATTTTGATAAACTTTAATAGTTAGATTTTGCAATCAATTTCAAGAGATTTTAAACATGATAAAAGTAGCAAAAGAATGCTCCCACATTCGACTCATTGGGAGATTCTAAATATGATGATAAAGTTATCAACATGATACAGTTCAACGATTTACACATATATTGATAAACTACAATAGACTAAATCGTATCTTTAAATGATTCTCAAAATATTTAGTATTATGCAGAATTGAATGCTCTACTTAATTTATAAATTTTCAAAAAAAAGAATTTCATAAACTCTTCCTTTTCCTTTAAAAAAAAAAGCTTTTCTTTCTTTTAATCCATATATTTGCTTATTTCCATATATATATATATATATATATATATAATCCATATATTTATTTCTTCCAATCCATTTGTTTTTTTTTTTAACATTTTTATTCCTACATTCGTATATTACATAAAATTACTCAAAATTAAAAAAATTCAAACTAAGGAAAATTTTTGTGAGTAATAAATACGAGAAAAAAAAATTACAAGAAACAGGTTTTATTTTTTTCTTAAATACTAGTTAGGATGAAATTATTTCACTCTTAAAAATAAGAGATATTCAAATTTTATTAAAAAACTATAGCGAAATTGAGAGGATGAGATTAAGATTGTATTACAGATTAAGATTATGATAAAGATTAAGATATTAGAATTAATGATGTATTCATATAGAGATGTGAAAAAGAAAACAGTTCAGATTATGATTTTGATGATTACGATATTGAGTTATTGGAATGATGCAAATTTTCATTCCAGAGTGTTTAAATCGTAGTGGTATTATTACATAGTAATGTTAAATTTAGTTTAACGTCAAATTAAATTTAATAAAACTTAGTATTACAAAGAAAAAATGAGAGTAAAACTCTTTTAATACTTCCAAACATTACCATTTATAATGGCAATGAAATTAGGAATGAAATGAAACTGACAACAAGAACCAAACCGTAAACTGTGAAACATGAATTGATATGTGTGTGTGTGTGTGTGTGTGTGTGTGTGTGTGTGTGTGTGTGTGTGTGTGTGTGTGTGTGTGTGTGTATATGTGTGTGTGTGTGTGTGTGTGTGTGTGTGTGTGTGTGTGTGTGTGTGTGTGTGTGTGTGTGTGTGTGTGTGTGTGTGTGTGTGTGTGTGTGTGTGTGTATGTGTGTTCTTCCAATTTACCATTTCAATCACGAATCATTGTTATTGCAATAAATATCTAAAATTCAGGAAAAGAAATTTTGTTTCTTTATCGATATGATAAAATTATCGATTGTCCTCTTAAATCAGTATATTAAATAATTATTCCCCAAAAAAAAAAAAAAAAAAAAAATTTCTCCCACACTTATTATTTTAATATATCAATTGGCAATTTCACTAAATTATGCTCACACATCTCTGATATATTCATGCATAAAAAAAGAAACCAAGATATCAAATTTATACAGACCACATAATCAAAGTGATAAAAGACTTAAAAAAAAGAGCAAAAGAGGAAAAGAAATGATATGGGAAAAAAATTCATTTTGTTTGGAAAAGTACGAATAATTTTGGCAGAAAAATTGGACACAAAGAGCAATAAGGATGGAAGAATCAAAATTGAAAAGGAAATTTTTCATTTTATTACCTCAATACAATGAGGGAGAAAAAAAAAAGCAATTAAATTAAGGTGCGATACAGACGAAGAAGCAATTCAGTGAATCGTTCAATTTGTATAAAATTTTTCTTTTTTATGTTTGCTCTCTCCAAAAATTACTGACTATTTTTCTCCTTCACATTTCGATCATTCATTTATGCATACCATTTTACGACGAATGGTAGCAATTTTATGTTTCATTTCTTTCTTCCTTTTTTATCTTTGATAAAGCGAATGATAAGAAAATGAAAGAAATGATATTAATTTATGAAAAATAAAAAAGTTAAAAAATTAGTATTCATCCATCTTAAGATTTACTTAAATATAATTTATATTTGTATGACAATGAAATATTGAGAAAATATTGGAATTAATTAAATCGATCCAATTATAAAATATTAAACAATTTTTACAACCAAAATGTTAAATACGTAACAGTTTTTTATTCATTTAAAATACGAGAGTAAACTACTTAATAATTTAAGTTTAATGTTGCTACTATAATTATCATAATTTTTTGTAAAAATGTTCAAATAGTCTTTCTGTTTCCTTTCATAACATTCCAAGCCTTAAATTAGTAAACTGAAATAGGATGACTAGCAGAAGTATTGCAAATGATGAATGCACATCATTCCTATGCAAAATTGCAAAAGAAAAAATTCTTTTAACTAAAAACAAAGACAATTCAACATTGTATATCGATTTATTAGTAGCAGCGAAAATAAGAAATTAAGTTAAAAAATTGAAAATCTTTCATAATAAAATTTGTGAAATACTAATAAAATTGTTGTCTGCATATCTTCATTTACCCATTTTTTATTTAGAACAAATCAGTGAAATTTTTATAATTGTCATTCTTTTTTTTACCATTATTGTCATAATTTATTGACATTCTCACTTTCTTTTTTCTTATTGAATAATTTTAAACTTTTGTAACTTTATCGTTTCTAAGAAATTCAATTTTACTTCTAATGATTGACATGTGCAAATTAGTTCTTTTGTTGATTTACAAAGCATTGAAATATCTCATTATCCATTACATTTAATCAACTCCTTTTGCTAGCACAATCTACTGGTTTATTTTATCTCATTCCATTTAATTTCATTTTCATTTTCAATTCTCATCTCAATATTAATCTTAATGAATGTTTCGAATAGATAACACAGTTTAAGGTTGAATGTTATTAGAAATGAAATATAGAAATGAACAAATATAAAATAATAGCATTCCTTAAAATTATTCAGTTTCATTTAGTAGAAAATTTATGAAACGAAAGTGAAAAAAAAAGTTTTGAAGATATTAGCAAAATTCTCTAAATTTATTTTTTATCAATTATTTATTTACTAATTTTGGAGTTTGAAATAATGAAAAAAATGGAAATTTTTAGCAATTTAAAATGAATGTCATGCTTGACTTGCTGAAACAGTATTTTAAAACATTTTAAAATTATTTTTTATGCTATTAAATAAAAATGCGTCTTTTTTTCTGTTCGATAGTTGAAATAGCATGAAAATTGTATAAAAAGACGAAGAAAAGTTTGTGCAGGAAGGGACTGAAAACAAAAAAATTTCATTAATTAATAATTATTTCAATTCATATACCGTACTTATTTATGCGATATGTAATTGATAAATGAGTAATTCCGTTGTAAAATTTTATTTTTTTTTAAATTTTACAATTGGTCATTGTTTGTTTAATATATTATTTTGAAATAAGCAAACACATTAAATTAGCAAATACTTTTTTTTTACAAATGAATCATCGAATAATTAATAATAAGTGCAAAATAAGGATAGAGAACATTTTGAGCAATTGCAAGAATAGTAATAAATGAATTGTTTAATAAATAAAAAGCAACTTAAGTTCATTCCATCTAACAAAAAAATTGACCAAAATGTTTGAGGAGAAAAAATTTTGCAATTTCTTTAAAAATATTCGTTATTGCTTAAAGGAAACAGAAACAAATGCAACGAGGAAAAAAATGAAAGCTTCTTGCTGATTTTTAATTTTAACAGAAGAGAAAAAAGCGAAAAAAAAGTAAACAAAATTTGTTTTTGCAACTTTTGGCAATTACTGAAATACAATTTTCAACAAGAAATGTATATATGAAGTTTAATCAAATTTGTGTTTCTTATTTAAATCAATTCCTTCTAACAAGAAACAACTAGTAATAATAGCGAGAAAAAAATGTATGATTTTTTATATATAAATCAAAAAATAAAATTTTTGATGTTGAAATTTAATAATTAATAATCATTTGTTCTTCTACTTTTATTTAATGAAATTATTTACTCATACACATATTTAATATAAGTAAAATTAATGAATTTATCATAAAATTGTTACCGTATCTTTTTTATTACAACCTGATGAAATGATTGAATGATTATTTGTTGTATTAGAACAACATAAACATATACAACATTTTAATAAAATAATAATAGAAATTAGTATTAACATAGGATAAATATAAATTAGATTTGAATTAAAAACATAAATATCTGGTCGATACCAAATGATTATTTCGGTACTTGCTTCACGTCCAATTAAATCGTAATTAATTAATTTAATCGAATATTCGCAATGTGTTCGACCGTGTAATTGTATTGTTGCAGTTGTTGAACCCTAAAAAAACAAAAAAAAGTGAAATTTATGATTTAAATTTATTTTAATTAATAATAAAAATTTAAAATTATTGCATAATTTTTTGTTTGCATTGAATTTAAACCAATATAATATGCAGTAATTCGGGAAATGAGTATTTATGATATGGAATATTTGATTACTTGTGCTACTGATTAATACTTGATCACTGCAATTAATATCTGATACTGTTTCACAGAAATTTTATTATGTATAAAAACTCGTCAATCAGTAAATTTCGTTCAAATTTCAACAAATTGTTAATTAGCGATAGATTATTTAAACTGAGATATTTTCATTTTTTTAATTTCAAGTTGGTGTTAGCACAACTGTTTTTTGCATTAAGCGCTTAAATACTGAATGTGTCATAGATGAAAACTGATCTCTTAATTTAAAGAGCATTGCAAAGTTCTAGAAAGGAGGTGAAATAATTTTAAATTATTAATATACACAATGCGCTTGAAAAAAATAAGAAAAAAAAATGGAATAGAAAAAAGAACTAACCGCATTGATATAAATACTAGAAGGATCATTATCACAATCATGATGATTTGTTAACGATTGATAAAGTAATTGATAAACTAATATAGTATTTGGTTCACTTGATGGTATCCATTGAATTTGCACTGATCCATTTGGATTTATTATTGCCTCCAAATTCTTAACTGGTTCAGGAGCTAAAAAAGAAAGAAAATATAAATTCATAAATAATCAGTCATAAAAAAAAAGAAATGATGCTTAACTTATAGTACAAATTAGCTAACTTTAATTTGTAATTAATTATTTTACTTACCACATTCAAGACTTCCTGAACCAAATACTTCATTACATGCTGGTGTAAAGAATTTTTGTTCTAGTATGTCATTTGTGTCACCTGCAGTTGACATATTCTTTTGTTGCAACAATGATGAATCTACTACCATTACTGATGAGATCGATCGTACTGCTACAGAATATTCCGTTGAGAATTGCAAATTTGATAGTAAAATACCATTTCCATTGTCCTCAAAAGGAATTTTGTAATTTTATACACATTTTTCTTTTTTTTTTAAAAAAAAATTCTTCCTTAAAAATTCTAAAAGAATAATTCTTTTTGCACAATCTTTTAAATTTTTTAAAGAAAAATTTTTTAAAAATTGCACAGTTTTCTCTAAAAAATTTTTTTTACACAGAATATTTTTTTTTATTTAAAAAAATTCTCAACATCAAGCAGTAAGATTAAAAAAATATTCTTTCTAATTGCTGAATTAGTAAAATTTTAAACTGACCAATGTAAACAATACAGTTTCCTGTGACGTTTCATTGAGTATGGTAATACTATAATGACAGTTACCAAACAATGCCAGCCTATCATCTAAGATATTCGGTGATAATTCAAGCTGATACGGTGAGTGATACCATTTCACTAATGCGCACAAGCCATCTTCATTATTGTACTGTGTTGCAATCATCATTGGTCCAACTGCGAAAAAAAAAAAAACGGTAAAGGTAAATAGAGCTCAAAAATTATATTTTTTAAGAAAAATAAAAACAAAAAGAAAAGCTAAAATAAAAATAAAATAATTGCTAACATAAATTATGTAAAATAATTCATTTATAAATTTGCAAAAAATTACTGGAGAAAGCAATTTTAAAACAGTGAAGATTTTAAGTTAGGAAAGGATAATTAAATTTATGAATATAAAGGATAAAATTAATAAGTAATGCATTGTTTGTTATTTTTTTTTTCTCTTTTTCTTTGTTTTATTTTCTGTAAGATATATTTCATGGCGAAATGAGTAATGTTGAAGAAAAAAAAAAATCAAATAACCCAACACAAAGACCAATTAATAGATAATCTTTTTTCTCACGAAATTTCATTTTTTTTTTTTTTTTTTTTGGTTTTTAAGAGAAAAAAGGATTTGAAAAAAAAGTGAAGGAACTTTGGTAGATTTCGAGGTAATTACAAATACATTCTGTCTTGTGTCCTAATTTCATTCTTTGATACCTTAAAGCAATCAGAACTTCTACTTGAACTTAAATTTATATTAAAAAAAGTTTTCCCAACCATCTGCTTCTATTCAACATCTATAATCATTCCTTACTGGTGAAAGTTTATGAAAAAAAAAAAGTTAATAATTTGATATTTACTACCAGGTACGCGTAACTTTTCCTCGACCGTTAATGATTGTGCCCAGTTACTCATTATTGGCCCACCCAAACGTCCACCGGGTCCAACAGCAGTAACCATAAATCTGTATTGCATCATCGGTATCATACCCTCAACTTTAAATATTGGTTCTGATTCAATCTGAAAAATTGACCAAATTGTAATAATCTTTTTCTTTAAGCTTGCAGCATTTATCTTAAACTTAAAATTTTTCCAAGAAGCCAAATACAAACTTTCTAAATTTAAATTTGAAATTATTTTGTTGCTCGCAAAGAAAAAAGGCGTTAAAAACGAAAAACGATGATTATTTCTTTATTATTATTTACTAATATTATAATATTATTATTTTTATTATTATTATTACTTATCAATACTACGGAAAAAAAGGTAATTTTTTGGAGGTAAAAATTTGATGAAATGAATGAAAATGGAACAAACCGAAGCAGTAATCCAACCATTTTCTCCGGTTGGACTGCCATCATATGTTCGTTGTTTCCATTGAACAATGTAACGGATCGGATATTGTTCCGTTTCATTGGTATTGACAAAAACTAAGCCTTCAATTGTATCCTCGAAATCATTGACATCTTGTGATGTTACAACATCCATACAACCTAATTGAACACTTTTAATGGGTGAGTGATCAGTTCGACCTGAAATATTGCAAATTTTCTTAGCAAAATTATTAAACACTTTTTTTTAATTGAATTGTATTAAAGAAATTAGAAATTCTTCATTAAATGCTAGAAAATCTATATGTTCACTAAACAGTTTTTACACAAATATCAAATTCAATTATTTAATTAGAAGTACTAATTATTTCAATTCAAAATATGTACAATAAATTTTGTAATTTATTTTAATTTTCTTCTTTCAAGTCATAGTCTCCTCAAGTCTTTTTTTAAGTTAATTTCAAATTTTACTTGCATATGCATTTGTATCCATCCAAAATTGCATTCCTGCCATTAGCGCATTTGTCGTACCATTTTTTTCTCGTCGTGCAGTCATTCGTCGTCGATTACAACCAGTTATACACTGCAATATGCGCCTTATCATTAAAATTTTTTTTTTATTTTATTAAAAATTTCGACCTTTCATTTTTAATTTTTTTCCTTTTTGTTTTTGTATTTGCATAGATTATATTTCTAAATTGATTGCAAACATTTCAATTGATAATTTTGCAACTTCAGTTAGAATGATATCACAGCATACAATGATAATTTGCAACAATTTTTATTTATTGAAAAATTAACTTTATAATTTAAATAAAAATAAGCTTTGAATAGAAGAAAGAAAAAGATTGAAACAATCAATCTTTCGTTTTTTACTTTTTAATTGCATGAAATACTTTCTCATCGTAAAAGTTGTCATTAAAGTGACCGTATGTATAAAAAAATTTTTTTTTGTCTTTACAGCATTTAAAACAGTTTATCTCTTCCCAATATTGTTCTATTTAAAAATAAGAAAAAAAAAAGGATGGAAAATAAAAAGAAATAAGTAAATCTTTCAAATATATAAGTCGCTGTAATGAATGAATTAAATGTTTATTACGTTGAAATTAATTAGTAATAAATTAAACATTCATTACGTTGGGATTAATTAGTAATAACTTTTTTGAATTTCGATATTTAGAAAAGGCAAAATGAAGGTATAAAACAAAATAATAATTGTCATTAACTAACAAGTTTGTAATGATCTCCATCATTACCATAATATTTGATAAATGTTCCGTCATTTAAGCGCCGCTTGATTGATTTTGAATACTGAAATATATACATATTGCATGGGTAATCCAAACATTTTTTAGCAAAATTAAATTTTAGTAAAAATTTCAATTGAAAATAAAGTGAATAAGATCAAATGCAAAAAAAAAAACTGAGATTAATGTTTCATACGTTATTAATATTTGAAATGAACTATTTTGCAAATGCATGAAACATTTCTCCAAAATTCCAATCAATTTAAATCCTACAATCAAAGTATCAAATTTAATTATTTCACAGGAATAAAATTTTACTCTAAGCACTTAATTGCTTTTAAATACAAAGCACAATCACTCTAACTTTCATAACTGAAATGCATACGGAAGAAATTAATATTGCATCAATTAATTTAATTTGCAGTTTTAATCAACAAAGACTGAGTGTTGCAAAACAATTTGACAATATGAATTTCCTATTATTGAGATAAAAATTAGCGTTTTTAATTCGAATCAAATTTTAATTCAAATAGCAATTTTCAATTATATAGTCTTTCTGCTTTACCACAAAACTTCTGCTAATAGCTAATTTAAAATGAATTTTATTATCAAATAAGAAAAAGGGATGTGCCATCTACCATACAAGAAAAAGAAACTGCTATTGAGAGTTATAGGAGGATAGTCTAATTTATCATTGAAAAAGTATCTAAGTAATTTTTTTTTTGTTGTTGTCTTTGAAGGGAATTAATTTAAATGTTCGAATTCTACAAATTATTCTGTAGCGATCAATTTTATTTCATTTTTTATATCAGAATTCATTTTTTGCAATAATTTAAGAATTTCATTGAAGAAAAATTAATTTTCTAAAAATGGAATACTTTTTCATATTTCAAATTCTTCTCAAATAGTTTTTCCAATTTTTTAGAAAATAATTTCTTGAAAAAGAAGCAATTTTGAAGTGAATAAAAACGATTATTCATCCTCTTTTGATTATACTATTACTATTATTTATTAATATTTATTGTTATTATTATTACTTTTATTTATTAATATTGTTGCAATTACTATCATTATTTATTGTATAATATATTATTATTTGTCATTTTTTTTAACCACTAGTATTACTATTAATATTATTACTGTCGTTATTATTATTGTTATTGCCAATATCATTGTTTATTATTATTATTATTATTATTATTATTATTATTATTATTATTATTATTATTACTGCTTACTGCTATTTTTGGTTATAATTCGGAATTAATTACCTTTTCCGCACATTTTGCATCACATTGTGCTAATCTGAAATAGTGAACAAAGTCAATTTGTACATACGGTAACACCGTGAATGCTTTTAGTGTCGCCGCAATTAGCACCAGCATTGACATTTGTGACCACATCATAGAAAATTTTTGTCCAACGACTGAAAATTTCGAATTTTTGAAAATAAGTTTCATTACAATATTTTTTTGCCTTTTCATATTCTTTCTGAAATCAATCATTTAGAGTCTAAGGAGCAAAAAAAAAAAGAAAAATGAAAACATAATAAGAAGTAAAAACAATTTGACAAGCAATTAAATTAAAATTAATAAAACATATAACCGTCCATACTGTTATAGTTTGCAATGTACACACGTTAATATAATTTATTTAGTTAGGCATTTTCTTTTTAATTAAAGAAGAATTTGAAATTCACATGAAATCAACGGATATTTATCATTTAAAAAGTTTCACAAAATGTTTATTGAAGTTTGTTAATTTAAAATTCAACATGTTTAAAATTTCACATCTATCATAAACTTTTTGGTAAATATCTTGAGATTTAAAAAAAAAAAACTATCGCACGATATTTTAGCAGACGAAAATGATGGAAAAAAGAAATAAAAAATTGAATATTTAGTCGTGTGGATAGGGGCATTTGTAAATTCAATAATTCCAATAATAGAATGAATAAATTAAATTTTTTTTTTTTTGACAACAAAAAGGAAAGGAAAGATGCGAAAAGACATTTAGCTTACAAATACATTACTTCTGAGATATTAACGATTTTTTGCATTAATGAGAACAAAAATTAAGTGTCACAATTTCAATATTCATTTGTTCTTTATTTTGTTAGAATTAATGATGAAACTGAATTAAAATATAAAACAGAAATAATTTATGTGAAATTGAGGAATGATTATGTAAAAGTCAGTAACGACATATCTTGAAAAATTGAAATATGTTGCATAAAGTGATTATACGAAACTTAATAATCGTCCATTTCAACTACAGTTAACATTTTTGAAAACAATGCCATAAATGAATAAATGAAATTTGAATTCAAATACCTAAAAATTGTTAGCAATATATGATTGATGGAAGAGACAATCTCAGGAAATTAAATTCAGAATGAATGAAGTTGAACAAAAAAAGGAATGACACAAATGATTCCTACCCATTCTCTCTCTCTTTCAAAAAAAAAAAGAAAAAATCATATCCCTCAATCCCTCCAATAGTACTATCATAAATAGACGAATGACCTTCAACCTAACATAGGTATTTTACTATTTTTATGATAGAAAAAAAGGAGGGTAAAATGATTTTTATGGAAAAGTGGTCTTTTTTTAAATTCAATTTGAAAATGATCAAAAATTCATTAAAATTAAATTGTTAATTCTTAGATATTACAAAATTCCTGCCTTTTTTTTTGAAAAAGAATTTTATATGCAAGTTTCTTTCATTTTGATTTGTATCATATTAAAAGATAATAAAAATATGATATTGATTTAAGATTTTATTTGACTGAATTTAGCAAATTTGAGATAATTTTAATAGAAGTCATAAGATATGCCAATTTTAGCATAACAAATCTTTTGACTAATTGATAATTTAGTGACCAACGACTATTTCAATATTTAGTCACTGATAATACTATCCTGAAAATTCGTTAAGCGAATTTGCAAAATATGATATTCACGAACTATTTTGATTCAAATTTGATTAGCAGATAATTATGCTTTTCCTTTCCATCAATTACATTTTTCATTGTCTCTGCATAATGAAATTTTTTAGATTTCTAAAAAATCTCAAATTCGTTTTTCTTTTTCTGTTTTTCAAATCAACAATGAAAACTTTCTAATTCTGATTATTTTCGAAATTTTTGTAATATTTGTTGAAGTTTTGGTTAGGCTTGCTTAGTGTTTATCGCTTGTTGTTTATTGTTATAATACATTAAGGAATAAGCCATTTTTAAATTGATTTTCATATCAATTAATAATATATTCTAAAGGATGCTCGAACAAAAAATACTTATTGATGGATGTTTGATAGAATAAGAAATTAAGGAAATACAATAAAGATTAAAGATTAATAGTAAAAAAAGAGATCGTAATTTGTGCACTTATTCTTAATAAGCTACAACTACTAGTGGCTACCATAATTGCAATTGTCCATTTGACCTCTGACCACATTCAGAACTAAGAGAACAGTGACGAGAGCTAAATTGGAGTCTAAAAATTAGAATTAGTGTGGAAGTGATAAAGTTATCTGTACAAGAACTTTGGCTACTACTTTTCATAGAAGTTTAGAAATTTTATGAGCTAACTTAAATGATAGTCAAATTCCTTTTCACCTTATTGTCTATTAAAATATGATAAACTATTAAATGCGATGCAATTTTTACTACTACAATTAGTGCAATAATAAAATTTAGGATAGATTTTCTTTTTTTTTCATTTCAAGTTAATTACATATTTTTGCTCGAGTTCATAAATACGATAAGTATAAAAAGATGTAAGTAATGGTAATTTGTCATCTGTAATAAGCGGGAATGCTTGGGGATAGAAAATGGGTATAATTACGATGAGATATAATTATTGGGTATTGTGTCCTATTTAACATCTGACACTATAATTTAGTCAAAACATATGGACTAAGGATAAGAAGAGAGGTGGTGGGCAGGTAAGCAAGCAGAAAGTAGTTGGTGGTGAATTGAGCAAGAAGAGAGATAGTGAAGAATGGTAGTGGTCTAAAATGACGGGCAGGGAAAGAAGTGGGTAGAAAACGAAATGATATTTTAATTATTATTTAATAAATTAATTAAATAGTATTATCAGTAGTCAGACATAATAAATTTTTACTGAGTAATCAAAAAGTATGTTAAATGTAATGCGTTAGATTAAAATGTATTAAATGTATTGAAAATACTTATTTAGAAAAAATTTATTTTATTAGTAAGTAATCTGCAGAAAGTTTAATTTTTGACTAAAATAAGCAAATATCAACGATAGCATTTTAAAATAAACATGAAAAAATTTTCATTTTTGCTTAAGCAATTAACGAATTCACAAGAATAGTAATAATATTACATGATTATACGATATTATAATTATTATTTTAGCAAATTTCTTTTCTGCTTTATCTTTTACAAAAGATGATATGCTGAAAAATTATTTTAATGAAATTTCAGGTTTGTTAAGAAAATTTATAAGCATGTAAATTGTAAATATTATGGCATAATTTTGGGAATATTAAAGGGGAAGTGAAATAATATTGGGTAAAGGTGATAGAAATAATAAATGAGTAAATGTATTTCATTGTAATTTTAAGTTAAAATATTTTATCCATTTTTTTTTTTTTCGAAAAAGAAAAATAAGATGAAAAAGGAAGTGATATGGAAGTAGATATTGCTTCACTTGTTATTTAAAATAGAATTATTAATTAACTTAGATTAATGTTTATTTCATTGCAAATTTCATTCATTTATGCTAGCTTTAAAAATTGAAGCATAATGAATTCACTGATTTTAATTTTTGTAACTTTACTCAAACAATCAATTATTTCTGCCATTTGATTTCCACTTGGTTAAGTTCCCACTTGCTTAAAAAAAGGAAAAAAGAGGAGTCATGTCTGTTAATTAAATACTAGTGGGTCGGTATCCTTTGATCATAATCATCTGGGCATTTTCATCAAATGATAGCTGCTATTAGATTAGTTGACCTTTAATTGAAGTTCTACTGCTTTATTTTAAATTTGATCAAAATTTAAAATATTTTATTCGCATAAGAAGTTCTAATTTGATTAACATAAAATATCAAAGTTTAGTTAGCTAAGTTTTTCTTTTCTTTGTGAAATAAATTTTACATATTTCAAATAGGAAAAATAATTGGGATAGCAAAATTGTGTAATTAAAATTGAAATCAATTTGGAGAACTTTTCTCTTGCAAGAAGTAACTTGAAATATAGAATGAATTAGTGTAAAAGTAATGAAAAAAAAAAACCAAAGCCTGTTTTTTTGCGCTTAAACATATTTTACATTTGTTTTATACTAATATTATGATTTGTTCCGTCTTCGCTTTTTAATTTTATTATTTATCCTGCTTTTGAAAGAAATTCATGATGTTATAATAATTAATTCTAGCATTATTAGCATAGCTAACGGTATTAGTTAGATAGCAAGCTAAGCAAGGATAATAACAACTTAGCCAAATCTATTGTTTATAAATAATCATTGAATAAACAATAATTTAATTTTAGTAGGTAGATAATAAAAATAATAAATGATTAGATGACAGAAGAAAGATGCATGGTGTAGAAATGCATGAATGAAATATCGACAAGGATATTATAAGTGACAGATTTATGATTATCAATTGATCAGTGGTTACTAAATGATCAACTCAATAATGGATCTGAAACAAGTTTTATTGAATTTTGACTAATACAGAAAATTTCGTACATTATTTGATAATTAAAATGAATTAAGTAATACATAACTTTGCAACATTTTTACACATGAATTTATAATTGAATTAATTAATTAATTAATTAATTAACTGGCTTATATTAGTGTTATAAAAGCCAATTCATTATGCAAATTATTGTTAAAAATCTAAATTTCTTTGACATTTAAATGTATCGATTTATTAATGAATGATCAAAAACAAAATGTAAAGAAATAATTTAAGCAGTAATTAAATCAAATAAGCGCCTCAAATCATTCATTAATTAAGTATTAAATGAAGTATATTTAAATATGCAAAAAAAAAAAAAAATCAAACATTAACAATAAATGAAAAGAAAAGAAAGAAAAGAGAAAATGGATAAACATTTTTACTAATTAATAGGAGAACAATGATGGGCGGTAGATGTCTTATCTCTTAAGTGCAACCATTTGTTTGTTATTGTTTTGTATACTTTTAAAGAAGCGACTTACTGAAAATGAACTACCATTTACGTCTCTCTCTCTCTCTCTCCCTCAAAAAAAAGAAAGAAAAGAAAAAAATGAGAGTATCACAAAAAGAAAAAAATATTAAAAATTTGTTAGCATATGAAATTCTAGAAAAATTGTTGAGTAATAAAAATTTTGGGGTTTGATAGCATGTTAATAAAGCTAGTTTTTCTAATTGCAAATTGTCAG